CAGAATATACTTTAAATAAATTTGGTGAACTTACAATAATCTTATGATATAGATTTGTGAATATACAGACTTTTTTATGAGACATTTGAAACAAATAATATTTACTTGAATATGTATTTTTCTGTAGGCGGTTTAAAACATGACGTCTATTTTGTCATTATATTTAGAATCACTGCAAGAAAATAAGAACACAAATTGTGTTACACAATTTCTATCGAACAATTTCTATCAGAACTATTTTTAAGACACAGGTCGAAGTTATGCTCTCCTTGGCTTAAAATCATTTTAAAACTAACGTCAAGAACTGTTCGTTTTACACGAGAAAGCTGCCAATTAATATCTCCTTCCTCACCAAAGTTCCTGATTTCTACCGACAAGCTCCGTTACTCCGCCTCCTTCCCATGAACTTCAACTTTTCATTATCGCACGGCGACTCGCGCTTATGATGCCTCTTTATCGGGAAAAGAGACGGCGTTTTATCGCCGAGCCAGCTCGCGCGGTCTCAAATTTTCCTCTCTACGTCGCGGCTTATCGGCGTGGCGACTTCGCGCGTAAATGCTTGAAATTATAGCCGATCGACTGTATTGGCGCTTTCACGCGGAATTTTCATCTCTCTTAATGCTCGCTTTTCTCGTAAGTGATTTATGACAGGTGAATAGGTAGGTAGGTAAGTGTTTTGAAAAAAAGAGAGAAACGCAGCCTCCAATTACGAAGATACGCCTCGTCGAAGCTCGAATCGTTGATTTTGTTAAATTTAATAAATCGAGATCACGTTACGCGAGATATAACCTCTCTTAAAATAAATCAGTAAAAATATTTCTAATTGAACCAGTAAAACGACTATTTCACCGACGACCAATAAATATTCACTTATTTCTAGTAAAAACATTCCTATTTTATTGTTTCGCCTATTTCTCACTGATTTTCACCAATAGAAATAAGATTTCATTGTAAAATCTAAAAATACTAATGTCTCCACACTAATAAAATTGATACCTAACTTTGGACATCCTTATTGTTTAAATTTTTAAATACGAATATTTAAATTTTCAGTGTAGAATATGTGTGTATATTCAATAAATGTATATATATATATATATATATATATATATATATATATATATATATATATATATATATATATTCTATATTAACAGTCTAAATATTCATATCCAAAGATCATAACAATAAGAATGTCAGATGTTAGATACCAGTGTTATTAGTGCCGAAATGTTGGTACTTTTACCTTAATACACAAATTCATTGTGGTTACACCACATCCAACTTCTTGTGTTTACAATGATGGAATTAATGGCTTTCATGTATCTTGCGTGTAATGACACTGTCCGTATTTGCAGCATGCATCAATAAGGAGAATAATCGCTACTATTAACCAATCCTATCATCGAGATTTTATTGATTGCAGTACTATACTTATAACTGAACCGCTAGTTAGATATAGCATTTCAGTGAAGAACACACTGATTGTACTTTAGAGAGATTCGTTATTGGAAATTGAGGCATTCTAACGTGAACGATCGGGAAAGATTGGCTTGTCATCGATCGGCTCGCGACAACGATGACGACGACGAGGACGAGGGCGACGACAATGCAAAGACGGGGAATATCACGTTCCTGGCAGCTTCGACGCCCACGATTAACGACTCGCGCCAATGATAACCAGACCCACGCTCGCAGCTTCATGGTGATGTCTCGGCGCATTCGTTTTACGAGGCCATTTTTGGCGCGCGACCGCTCGGGAACTCGTCAACGATCCCGTGGCGAGAAGAGGCCGAGGGAATTGATATGAGGGCATGAAAAACGACACTGCGAGCATTGGCTGTGTCGTCGTTGGCGCTAGCCGTTCGTTAAACAGCCAAGCGCGCTGCTTATTCAGTCGTCGAGTTTACGGAGGTGACAGTCCTTCGGCATGTCACCGCCCAAGAGAGCGAAAGAGGAAACTATCCCTGTGATTTTTATCGAGATTGAGTCGCATTTACGACGACGCGATTCGACTCGACTCAACTCGAGACAGGGATATCACGAAAGGATATTATGGAAGATCGGCGTAGAGAAAGAAAGCAAAAAGAAATGAAAAGTGGAATGAAGAAACACCTCGCGAGCCCCTTAAAACCCAGATACAGTCGCGCCAGTGGTATTACGTCCACAAAATACTCGAGAAGTGATCGAACGCGCAAGAAGGAAGAAGACTCCTGTGCACGTAATAGCGGTAGCATGTCCAATGTCGGGCCCGACGTTCCACGTCCGGCGGCCATTGTGCGCTAAACTCCGAAATAAAGGGGAGATACGAGCCGCGGCCCGAGAATTACGCATCCGCTGAAAGGCAGGCGCAAATTACAGAACTGGCGTAATAGCCGGGGTGCATGAAGCGTCTTATCGCCGACAATTTGTGCGCGCGCGGGCCGCGGGACGAGGAAAATCCCGCGCAGCGAAATTATCCTTTGGGGCGGAGATTACACCTAGATCGCCGGTTTACTCGCACGCTCCCGCTTGCGATGCGGCAGCGTTTAATAGAATTTTTTTAAATTCGCAATATCTTTCCTCTTATTTTCTTTCTTTCCTATAAGCATATTGAATAATGGAAATAATCGAAAGATGAGTCGATAACGATTCGTAAATACGACCGTAATAATCCAGTCGTAAAAAATATTGTAATCGATTTTATCCTATCCTCCGCTTCACTCTTTAAGAACACGTTTGGGAACCTGGAATATAATGTAAGAAGTGTAAGGTTTAAATAAAATTTAAATATATCAAAAATAAATAAATCAACTTCATATTGCGTCAAAACGTTCTTTGAAATGTCCACTATAAAAAAAGTATAAGTTTTATTGGGAAATAATAGTTGAAAAGGACGAAATTATTGTTTTTCTGAGGACATCACTCAAAATCATTATGCTTTCTACACAGAACAAAATGGGGTATCTCTCAAAACTTGTTCATTTCTTAATCATTAATTTTCAAAAGTTCTTAAAAATGACTTATTAAAACATTCAACATATAAGATATACTTCATGTTTAATTAATTATAATTATTTATAGACAACACCTTTCAGATATCATTTATAGACAACCTGATAACAATCAATACTTGATATGGTAAACATTACTATCAATTTTTTTAAATATAGCATATACCTATATATATAATGCAACTTAACACTTTAACATGATAGCATAATTCTGTTATTTATAAATTTCAATTAGGTAGTATAAAACATCATAGATAGTCGATATTTGTACAGACATTTAAGTAAAATAACGAGAAAATATCATTTAACAACATAAATGCACATATGTAAAAAACAAAATTTCATCATTGTTTACCTTATACAAAGATATGAAACAAAATTCAACGCAGTTGCGGAGAAAACAAATGCATAAAACAATATCTAGCTCTTTTCAACTGAAAATATCCTGATAATATCACTCAGTAAGAGACGTCTAAAAATAATAATTGCAAAACATTTCATTACATAGCAGTATCTCCTAAGAAAGATATCGACAATATCCTATTACGTCTCTCAAGTTCTACTATTTGAGTTTCCTCAAGACAACTATCGACATGGCGTACAGAAATCCACTCTAGATAAATAAGTGTACGTAAATTTGGTAGTAACTTTACTAGTTATATGTGTGTGATTTGTAAATTATACATTCTTTATGAGTGGTTTATACGGTATTCATATATATTATATAGAGTAACGAAATCGAAATAAAAAAGAGCTTACTAAGATTTACTCTGAATAATATGTCACATGTGCGGAAAAAGAAACTATTCCGTTAATATCACTAAATTTATCTAGGGACCAGATGAAAATTCGGTTGTAGAAACAAAAAGATTCCTGTAGGAAGTTAGTTACTCAGCCAATTACTCTCAGTTGTCTCAACTTAATTTTAATGCAGCTGAATTCTCAAACGAATGTTTTCGGTAATATGAATATTATTTCTCGTCAGTGAGTCTTTTGTCTGGCTCCTATTCAGTTACACGAATTGAGATTTTTGTAATGGATGTAAAATATATAATATAAAAATCTAAATGTGATTTTTAGTAAATTTAATAATTAATTTAATACATTATACTTGTTTTATAAATGTAATTAAAATAATTGTAAAATTTTCATCATCGATTGTGTCTAGTGTCGTGAGAATCACATGGACAAAATTTACGGTTACTACAATTACATTCTCTATGGTTAGAAAAAAGAATTATGTACATCTAAGTTAAATAGATATTGCATTAAAAATTGTTGTTATTATATGCCCATCTATACAGTTCTCACAGATTATTGTTCTTAAGTAATATTCAATTAGTATATCCTCATACATATGAAATATATATTTGCTTCAACCGAAAGTATATTGTTATCTTTCTATTGTGATCTACAGAATGAATACTATGATTGATAGATTTGTACATTGCAAAATGAAGTGTGTTATAGTAATACATAAACATGTCTCCACTTTTAACACACTATATTGGTATTTAAATTAATATACGTATGTGTGTTTCAACCTCATATATCCTTTAATGTAATCTCTTGTATCGTCTCTTTAATATTAAGAAACAATATTTAAATGAGATTAGAATATTTGTCTAGCACATATATGTAAGTCAATTTAAACTGTAAGTTTAATATGTTAAAATGGAAACATATTAACACGTGTTGTTATAATATATTTTATTTTGCAATTTAGAGTTTAATTGTTTCGTATAACACACACACACACACACACACACACACACACACACACACACACACACACACACATTGAGAGTTCCGTTCAACACGTATAGACAACCAGCAAAGAAAGTACTACTTCCAGAGTGCTATAATTTCTACAATCATTTTGTATGCATGAACAAAAAATAACATTAATTTTTTGTTACAACAAATGATATCTCTAGTATTTTTTCCGTGCATGAAAATCTATATGGGGCGATACGAGTAAGAGTGGTAAATGCGGTGTTCTCTTACCTGACCGTGCTTGTCCATGTCGTTGTTCGTCAGTTTCACCTTCTCGAAGGAGACAATCTGTTTTCTCAACTGCTCGCCGGTAAAGGGAGAGTCTGGGTGCGTGTAAAGTCGCGCGGGTGCCGGCGGGTCCGCTTTGCCGGCCACCAACCAGCAGCTACGATGATAGGCGTATCGGTATCTTTTGTTGTCGAGCGGCACGATGTCCATCAGCACCGAGTAATGGCCCTCGGTCTTGAGCCCGCTAAAGGATACCCGGCAAGTCGGGAACATTCGTCTACGGAAGAACACGCATACAGGAAATTTTAGCGATAACAAGTTGTGAAAAAATGTAGTGCAAACAGTAAACGTGATAAGTGCGAACAGTAAACAAACATAAACGCGATCGATTAGCACACAAGAAAAATCATAATAGTGACCTCATTTCAGTTTGATAACCTTTTAATATGTTGAAATCTAGATTAAAACAAATATTCTTTATAACCGAGTAAGAAACCGACACAAGAGAGAATCCAAAAGTCACATCTAATTGTAAGAAAAGAAAAAGAAATGAAACTTAGAAAAGTTGTGGTTTTAAATTAATATAAAATAATTAAATTAATTAAATTAAATTAAAACTTTGTAATTTAAAAAATTAGTTTTCAATGTAATAAGTTAAATTGCACATTACGATGCGCATTATGAAGAGCTAATTATTACCTAATTCTGTATTCTCTTAGTATTTACGATTGGGTTGATCGTTTTGGGAGCTTCTAATTATTTTTAGAGGATATACTTTTTGGTATATACTATTTGTAACGGATGATTATAGTAAATACCTCATGTCATTATATGATTTATGATTTTATATACCGAATATTTCTCTATTATCGTTATCGTTGTCATTTATTATGAGATGTTATGAACACAATGCGTTGTAAGAAATATCGAGCACACATAGATAATGCGCTTACGAGTACGTGCGTCTAAAGTGTTTCAAGTTAATATTTAAAAAATACTTTCTATAATATATATTTTTTTATATAACATATATTTTTTGTGTATAGATAGAATAAGATTTAACCTAAAATAATCTTATCCCATAAAATGTTCCAAAATCCTTTAAAAAATATTGTAAATAGCAACGATATGTTAAAAAATATAACATATATCTTTCAAGCATTTTAAAACACTGTTATAAAGCATATTAAGAACCATAAAGCTTTCATTCTAGTAACTTCTGACACTTCTATCGTTATCTACATTCTAACATTTGTCATTAGCACATCTGTTATGATTATAAATAGTTCAGATAAACCATAAAAAATAGAAATTTTTTTATAAAAAAAATTATATTAAAATAGAAAAGTAATTGTATTATAAAATAGAAAAAAGAAAAACATAAAAAATAGATATTAAATTACATTCAAAAATTATACAGATATTTGAAACAAATTAACATTTTTTGCAATTTCTTGATTGACTGATTTATATAATTTTATAGGATCGTCTCTAAAAAATATTATCGGTATGTTCCCGTGACATACAAGCATCTCGTTAAAAGTAACGACGTCGTATAAAAGACAAGCATTAATTGTTAATTGTTGCCATTAGTAACGACAAGAAACTACACACAAAGTTAGTTTGTTTTAAATATTTATTTAATTATTAAATGTAATTTTTAACTTCTTTTTATTTTAATTTAATTTTATATAAGGATTGTTATTTTTCTCATGATTTATTATTTAAAATTATTCATATTTATGACAGGTACTAACAACAGATAGAAGTCGTTATGCCTATATCAGACTATGGATTGAGAATTGCAATCGAACTAATCAAATAAAACAAAACTAAGATTTAGATTACTTAATTGGTGTTCGATTGCAATCCTCAACTCATATTTTGGTACGAGCGTAAAGCCCATGTCACACTATAGATTGGAAATAGAGGATTGCAGATTGAAGATTGCAAGGCTATCAATTGGAACAAAGCAAGCCAAGACCAAAGTCAGTTGATTCGTTGAAATCAAATCTTCAATCCGCAATTATCCATCTCCAATTCGTAATGTGACACAGACTTTAGCGTACTGTATGTACTGACAGTTGTCAGAAGGTGTCAATATTACAGCTGCTTTTAGACAACGTTATCACTTTTCCGGAATAGTCGTCAATTATGATGCACAAATATGTAGAAGTATTGTATGTAGTCGAGATTTTCAATTTATTCTAATGGAAAAAATATTAAAGCTATTTCGACGCAATAAGCGATTTTTTATGATCGTTTGATATATGTACCAAGTTGTCTTTGGGTTTATACCAAAACTTTAATATATATATATATATATATATATATATATATATATATATATATATATAC